GGATGAGAGAGCAGTCTGCGTGGCTGCTGCCTGCAACACCGCGAGCCCGGCGCGAGGAGGAGTCGGTGGGCGCCGAGCGCAGGGGACCCGCTGCTGTCGCCGCCGCTAACAAGCGGGGACCATGTTCCCGGGCTCCGGAGCCTTTCCCGCAGCCGCGACCCCCGCGGCTCACGCCGCCGCCGCCGCCGCCAGCGCTCGGGCCGCTGCAGCAGTCCTCAGGGAGCGCAGCCACTGAAGGCGCCACGAGCCGAAGAAGCCCCGGACTCGCACCCTCGGCACCGAGCCAGAGACCGAGGCGCGCCGGGGGCCCAGCTGCGGCCACCGCCCCCGGACTCCCTGAAGGGGCCTGCGGTGCGGGCGCGACCATTGCGCGCTGCTCCGGCCGGTGAACCTGGTCCTGGCGCTGCCTCCACGCTCGGCCCCTAAGGGGGCTGGACGGATTACTGTTCCTCGCGACAGCAGACGGCGGACTGGGAAACTAAGCCCAGTTTTTATCTTTTTAACCCTTAAGAGAGGAAGCAAGGAAAGAAGGGGGCGTGTGTCCGGGGAGGGCGCCGGAGCCACGGAAACCTCCTTTTAACTCTCGCAGCACCGCAAGCTAAGGACTGCATCGGCTGCCTCCGGCCCGGGAGCGGCCGACACAAGGAGCTCACACGGGCAGCGCAGCAGCGGTGGCGAGCGCGCGGGCGGGCAAGCGAGCGCGGCCTGGGAGGCTTCGGGCGCCCCCACGCTCCCCGTCGGTGGCAGCCCCGGGAGCGGGCTGGGGGCGCCGGAGGCACACTCCGGCAATGAGGCGGCTTCCCCCTTGGCTGGTACGAGCGGGTGCCAGGGTCCAAGGACAAAGCTGGGAAGCGCTGCTGGCGCCGCTCCTCGGGCTGATGGGGGGGCATGCACCTGCATAGCCCGCCGGGCCTTGGCTCTCCCCGGCGCGGCGCGCCTCAACTCCGCGGCGAAGCCGTAGCCGGCTCCGGATTTACTAGAAGCCATTTTGTCTCCCCCACCCCTCCGCTCCCCTCCCCTCTCCTCTCCTCCCCACTCCCTCCACTTCCCCCTTTGGTTAATTAAAACTAAGAAGTAAGAATGGGAACGGTGTGGCCAGCTCCCGTGGAGAACGCTTAAGGATACCACGCCAATTCTTTCCTTCCTTCCAAGGTAGGTGACAGCGAATAATTAATTGGGTGGGGAATGGTTGCAATGGGGGAAAGAAAGTCTCAGCTTTTCGAGGGCTGGCCTCGCGGGGGGGCTGGGAGACCAGCGGCCAAGCTTTAGTTTGGCATGATTTTTTTTCTCCCAGCAGTTCTGCCCCATCTCTCTAATCGCCCCCTCCCCACCTCTTTCTCCAGATGGAAAGAGGAGCTCCTAGCTCACTTAAGCCGGGGTAGGGCTGGTTCTCCTTTCTGAGCCAAAATCCCAGGCGATGGTGAATTATGAACGTGCCACACCATGAAGCTCTTGTGGCAGGTAACTGTGCACCACACCTGGAATGCCGTCCTGCTCCCCGTTGTCTACCTCACGGTGCAAGTGTGGATTCTGTGTGCAGCCATCGCTGCTGCCGCCTCAGCCGGGCCCCAGAACTGCCCGTCTGTCTGCTCGTGCAGTAACCAGTTCAGCAAGGTGGTGTGCACCCGCCGGGGCCTCTCCGAGGTCCCTCAGGGTATTCCCTCCAATACCCGGTACCTCAACCTCATGGAAAACAACATACAGATGATCCAGGCCGACACCTTCAGACACCTTCACCACCTGGAGGTCCTGCAGCTGGGCAGGAACTCCATCCGGCAGATCGAGGTGGGGGCCTTCAATGGCCTGGCCAGCCTCAACACCCTGGAGCTCTTTGACAACTGGCTGACAGTCATCCCGAGTGGCGCCTTTGAATACCTGTCCAAGCTGCGGGAACTCTGGCTTCGCAACAACCCCATAGAAAGTATCCCTTCTTATGCCTTCAACCGAGTGCCCTCTCTCATGCGCCTGGACTTGGGGGAGCTCAAGAAGCTGGAGTATATCTCTGAGGGGGCTTTTGAGGGGCTGTTCAACCTCAAGTACCTGAATTTGGGCATGTGCAACATTAAAGATATGCCCAATCTCACCCCTCTGGTGGGGCTGGAGGAGCTGGAGATGTCAGGGAACCACTTCCCTGAGATCAGGCCTGGCTCCTTCCACGGCCTAAGCTCCCTCAAGAAGCTATGGGTCATGAACTCACAGGTCAGCTTGATTGAGCGTAATGCTTTTGATGGACTGGCCTCGCTTGTGGAACTCAACTTGGCCCACAATAATCTCTCTTCTTTGCCCCATGACCTCTTTACCCCATTGAGGTACCTGGTGGAGTTGCACCTACACCATAATCCTTGGAACTGTGATTGTGACATTTTGTGGCTAGCTTGGTGGCTTCGGGAGTACATACCTACCAATTCCACCTGCTGTGGCCGCTGTCATGCTCCCCTGCACATGCGAGGTCGCTACCTGGTGGAGGTGGACCAGGCTGCCTTCCAGTGCTCTGCCCCCTTCATCATGGACGCACCTCGGGACCTCAATATCTCTGAGGGTCGGATGGCAGAACTTAAGTGTCGGACTCCCCCTATGTCTTCTGTGAAGTGGTTGTTGCCCAATGGGACAGTGCTCAGCCACGCCTCCCGCCACCCACGAATTTCTGTCCTCAACGACGGCACCTTGAACTTCTCCCATGTGCTGCTCTCGGACACAGGGATATACACATGCATGGTAACCAACGTGGCAGGCAACTCCAATGCCTCGGCCTACCTCAACGTGAGCACGGCCGAGCTCAACACCTCCAACTACAGCTTCTTCACCACAGTCACAGTGGAGACCACCGAGATCTCGCCCGAGGACACGACGCACAAGTACAAGCCTGTTCCCACCACATCCACTGGTTACCAGCCGGCATATACCACCTCTACCACAGTGCTCATCCAGACCACCCGTGTGCCCAAGCAGGTGGCGGTACCCGCAACAGACATCAACGATAAGATGCAGACCAGCCTGGATGAAGTCATGAAGACCACCAAGATCATCATTGGCTGCTTCGTGGCAGTGACCCTGCTAGCGGCTGCCATGCTGATTGTCTTCTACAAACTCCGCAAGCGGCACCAGAGGCGGAGTACAGTCACGGCCGCTCGGACAGTCGAGATCATCCAGGTGGATGAAGACATCCCAGCGGCGGCATCCGCAGCGACAGCAGCTCCATCAGGCGTATCAGGTGAGGGGGCAGTAGTGCTGCCCACAATTCATGACCATATTAACTACAACACCTACAAACCAGCACATGGGGCCCACTGGACAGAAAACAGCCTGGGGAACTCTCTGCACCCCACAGTCACCACTATCTCTGAACCTTACATAATTCAGACCCATACCAAGGACAAGGTACAGGAAACTCAAATATGACTCCCCTGCCCCCCAAAAACTTACAAAATGCAATAGAACGCACAAAAAAAAAAAAAGACAGCAACTTTTGTACAGAGTGGGGAGAGACTTTTTCTTGTATATGCTTATATATTAAATCTATGGGCTGGTAAAAGAAACAGATTATATTAAAATTTAAAAACAAAAAAATCAAAAGAAACCTATTTTCTAACTTGTAAGTTCTATTTAAAGGGGGAGTGGGGTTTGTGGGAATGGTGTGGGGTAGAGGCCACAAGTCAACCTGCTAATGCTGCCAGAAAGGATTTCTGGTATATGGTTAAAACAAACTAAATCAACAACAAACATCTCTAAAGAAGGAGGGTGCGGTCTGCTGGGAGGGGGTGGGGTGGGGTAGACCAAATCTGTCACTTTTTAGAAGATGCTTCCAAGGATACGGGGAATATCCATTTCTATAGACACCTTTCTTAAGCTGAGAGCTGTCTTTGCAGATTTGTCTTATTTTAAAAAGAAGTTTTAAAAAGCACCAAGAATTTGTATTGTGCTAAAATGTTCAGAGGTAATACTTTTTTTTCATCAGAGGCCAAGGGGAAAATAGATCTGTGTATGTATTTTAAACAGAAAACCACCACAATTAAATGAACACTTACAGGGCTGGAGTCTTTTTGTCTGTCCACGTGCACAAGTCTGGTTCATTTGTGCACAGGGACATGCAGGCGCCCCACCTGACAGAGCTCTTTGGGAGAGAGGAGACAAGCGAGGGAGCTGGCGTAGCTCTCAGTCAAATGCTCCACACTGCACCAGATTCCTGCAGTTGGCCTTAACCCACTCTGTGCAAGGCATGCGTCTCTTCAGGGTTTCCTTTGAGAAGGTGGTGGCCGGAGGCGGGTGCGGTGAGACTGCAGAGTGAGGTGGGAAGGTGGGAAGGGAGAGCCCAAGTGGAGGATGTACCCACAGGAGGCCATAAATTAGCATTGTGCCATGTCCACCTGTTGTTCCCAGTATCTGACAAATGACTGTAGATAATGATGGCAGTTTACGAGATTTTCTGAAAAGGTTTTGTTTGTTTTAAGGTGGAGAGGGAGGAGAGGTCGGGAGTGGGAGCTTGGGGGAGTGGAAGCTTTTCTCAGGCTGGTGATTTGGTGACTATTCTAAATGCTGATTCATTAGGGATTATCACAGCTGATGTCAACTGAGTGTGGTGATGGGATGGGGGCAGAACATGAGTAGAGAAGAACAAGGAGAGAGGAAAAGGGCACCGGCTCATTTAAAGTAAAATGAAGCCTTTCCCAACCAGGATGGCTCACAAAAAAAGACATGAAATCTAAAGATGAAACAAAAGTGACACACATGCACCTGAGGAGTTCTGCATGGAGTCCTGCTGAATGTGGCACAATGCGGGAAAGGCTTCCCTCTCCCAGGTCTACCTCGGGAGGAGGTGGGAGAGAAAGGGTGGGTGTGTGTGGCCAAGGCAGAGATCTGTTATTCCGGTCCATTTAATGCTGTAACTTCTTTCATTTATTATTTTAAGCTTTAAAAAGAAAGGATTAAGATTTGAAAGTTGGTCGAGGTGGGGGCGGGGGCTGGGTGGGGTGGAGAATGACAACAAAAGAACACTGATTGTAATGTGAGAAAAGTGTATTTTTGTATTTTAATAAATACTGTTCACTTTTTAATTCAATGTCCCCAAAGGGTTAAACTGAATAAGACCCTGAATCTATATATTCTTATGAGCATCAACCAAGTTATTTCATTTAAAGAGAAGAGGTAAGGTGGGAGGGGAAGAGAATGCTGAATTTCTTTTAAGTGTGGAGAAATGCAAAGCTGTCAACAATCTTTCCTTAGCTTAAATAAAAGCACCCCGATTCTAGTGCGCCTTCCAAGGGCTAATTGTGTTAGTCCCTGTTTTTTTAGGGGGTAGAACTAACTTCCCTATGCCCTGGAAAAGCAGGGGAAATGGGTCAGCCTCAGCTCCTGGGACCCAGCCAGAAGTTAAATGCCACCTCAGCAGAAGCTGCAGGTTGGGCAGCACCGTCTCTGCCCAGGGACCCTGGGGGACCTGGATTTAAGAGGTCGGCAATAATTTTGTTTGGCTTAAATTTCCTACAGGCAGTGCTGCTTCTGTTCTCTGGGTGCTAAACAGTCAAACGTGTCTTGGTGGTGGTGGGTGTCTCTCCTGATGCTTACTGAGTAGTGACGTACAGGGAGGCTGCATGAACTGGGACCCTGCGTCTGTTTCAGCGCTAGTATTTATACTAATGCGGGGAATTGGGACTGAGTGGGTGTGATCTCTCTGGCACTGAACAGGGAGAGGCAGGGAGCACTTTGTAGCAGTTGGATAAGAAATGGCTAAGAGAGAGCCAATCCTTAATTCTCCTGGATATATAGGTATCATTTCTTGTTATCAGTGTTTGTGGCTGCATGCATGCACGGTCACACACTTAGAAACTGCCACTCATGTTTGTAGGCTCCAAAGACGTGCCCTCTGCCTCTCCTTTACTATCCTATATGCCAGTAAAGAGAAAAAACTGTAGCAGTGCAAAGGATGGGCTTGGCTAGAACCGGCTGGAAGAGCAGTAAATTACCCCCTTTCCTAGTGCTGCAAGACACAACTTGAGCTGTTCAGGACAGCTTCTAGGGCACACATTCAGAGACAGCAAAGTAGTTGCTTCAGAAATAGGGAATATGGAGCCAATTGCCGAACACCTCTCTATTTTTGACAGCTGTATGGGCAGCCATGGAATTATGTAGTTGCTCTGGAACGACAAGAGTCTGTGGCTGGATGACAATCTGAGGGGAGAGCTAGAGAAATGGGCCTAAACTTTCCTGGGGGCTGAGCATGTTCACTTCTTGGAATCTGAGGGAGAAGTGCTTTCTAGAAGGAACTTCAAAGGAGTTGGGGAAGACTGAGAATATGGTTCCTAGGTTTAAGTGTCCTTGTCCTTAGAGCTTCCAGGGTAGTTCCTTTTCCACTGGGCCTCGTTCTCCATCTGGGCACATTTCAGCTTTTAGAGCAGCAACCCTCCTTTGCTGTAACACTGGGTATATCCTCCTTGGTGGCAGGCACACGGGACAGCTTTTCAGAGAGGTGTCCCAGGAGCACCTACAGTGCAGCCTTTAATGCCATGCTGGTGACTTATGATCAGGCCTGGCCCAGCTTTTGGGTTTGTTACCTGAGAATGGGACACGGGTTAGTCGCCTTTCAGGGGAGGGGTTATAGCAACACCATTAGAAGGAAAGGCTGCTGCTGACTATACGCAGTTAGAGAATTTTCATTACAGAATTTTTTAAAGGCCCTGAAAAATCATTTAGTTTAATCCCTTCACATTTTACAACCAAGAAAACAGAACTTCAGAGAAACTGAAAGGAGTACATCCAAGGTCACACATTAGTGGAACAGCTGAGACTGAATGAAACCCAGGTCTCTTGACTCCCAAGTCGTATGTGCTTCCTCACCAGGCTCCTACTGACTATCTCGGGGCCAACATACAGTGAGAATGGGACCTTCCTACAGACAGCACTGTGTCCTCTTCTCCTACCTCTTGGAGCTCCCATCTCCGCAGAACCTGCTTTACTGTGCTCTAAGGCCTGACCGAATTCTGACTATAGGGGTCCCATAGTGGCCCAAGGACCGTGTGTGCTCACTAAGGAGTTGGTCTTTTAGGACTGTACAGCTTCCTGATTCTGACATCTCACTGGTAGACAAACTGCAGGATCCCAAAGAGGGTGATGGCTAATCGGGGAAAGGGTGAGGTAGGTGAGGCAGCGTGTTTCACAGTGGGAAAGGTGGCCTGGCCGAATCCCCACCTTGCTCTTACAAGCTTTGCAGAGTAGAGGACAGGGGTCTTAAAGCACCCATGTGAGCAAGTTCCCCACAGTGGAGTGGTTTCGGCTTATTTTGCTCAACAATGAAACTGGGGCAGGGTGAGGGGGCTCCTTGACTCCTCTGCTCCACAGTATCCATCCCTGCCATGGCTCTTAAAGTGCCATGTGGTGGTTGCCATTCCCATGATCTACTCTAGGACCTTTAATCGCTATTTGATATAATGCTGTATTCTATTATCAATGAAGGTAGAGTAGACAGGCTAGTTCCTAAGGCTTAGAGATACTAGCTTTATCAAGGCTGTTTAACATGTAGTGAGGCCAGCAACTGGCTGGGTGCTGGGAGGAACTACGTAGTGAAGAGTCACTGCAACACAATTTCTGATGTTTTGGGGAGGAGGTCCAGAGTATGACCATTATAAGTGGAAAGCTCCAGCTTCCTTCAGTGGACATGGGTAGAGATTAGGAGAGGCTAAGGGGGGGGCCCTTACTCTGCCCAGGCTACTACCTCAGGGAGCCTGAGCCCACAATTAAGGCTCCACCGATTTACAGCAACAAAGCAGCAGGGGCTTAAAATTAGAGAAGAGGAAAAAGAAGGAACTTTTATAGCCAAACATATGTCTGATTTCATCTCCTGTGCTAGCACTCTATGCCATCGGCTAATGCAGGCACCATTCATACCATTTCTAAGTCCTGCCTCAGCTAAACTGAAAGGCAGCTTTTGGCTCAAAGCATCTCTCTTGGCCTCCATCCATTCAGAAAAGTACCCTTTACCCTTAAGGGGGGAACGAAAGGTTTGGGCAGTGGATTAAAATTGTTCTCCTCTTTGCTTTAAATTAAAATGATATAAACTGCTTCTTGGAGTAGGGGCAAATGCTTAGAAACCAGAACATACTTACATACATGCAAAGCAAAAGAGCATCATGCTTACAAGTATAGACCCTGCAGCCAGTCTTCCTGGGTTGAATCCCAGCTCCATCAACTTATTACCTGTGTGCCTTGACAAATACTCAGTTTCTTCATCTGCAAAATGGACATAATATGAGTATCTACACTTCATTGCTTCATAGGTTATTGTGAGAATTGAACTTATATAAGGTCACACTTATAACAGTGCCTGACAACATGAAGTAATGCTATATAGTCGGTAGTTATCCAACAATATACATAAGAGTACAGACCAGCTGACCAGCCCCTATCCTCACTGTTTTTCTGGAACCTTAGAGAACACAGCCCCAATGGAGAACTTGCCTACCGAGCTATTCCAGAGAGGAAGGATGCTTATCCTGAAGTCAGGGACAGCACCATCTATAAACTCAAGCACTGTGGGAAAGATGAACCATACTTTTCTTCTCAGGAAATACTGCCTTGTGCTCTGCTCCCTAGTCCAACTCTACAGTCGGCGCAAGGGCACTATCTTAGTCCAGGAGTAGATTACCTGTCCTCACGGTGAGCCAGAAGAAAGAGGGTGCTGCTGGTGGTGGGTGGCACACTAGGTGAGGGCTGGGACAGCAAACATCCTCTAGGAAGCCGTGGTCCTTTACCCAGAATGTCAGCATCTTGTCTTCTCTGCCTATTCCTGTTTCTCTGTCAGGATGCCGTATCGGTGGGTGGGGTGGGCAGGGCAGAGGCACCAGGAGGGAGAAGGCAGCCCAAAGAGAACTACGGGAGCCTCACAGCACTGGTAGAGGGGCTTGGAGAAAAAGAAAGGCAGCACCAGAATTTGAGCAAGTGTGAGCAGAATACAGCCATATGGCAGATACACAAGCTAAGGGTCTGCAATGCAGTTAAAGAGAAAACCAGGGAGATTCCTCCACTCCTAGCTTGCAGAGGCTGGCCAGCCCCTGGGTGGGGGAGGACTGTTACTGTGAGATTCATGGCACGGAACAGAGGAGAAGAAAAGCAAGGAGATCAACTTTCCAAGAGAAGCTTAAGAGAGAATACATTTTGATTTCCTAATGAGAGGCTAGAATTAGATTTTAGGATGATCACAGGTTTTATCCTCTGATAAATGCCTGCTTTGCTGTCAGTGCTTGGGCCAAACCACCTACCCACAACAGTCCTGTTCCCTATCCAGGAGGCTGTCCACTGCTTGGGGGAAGGAACCCAGCCTTCAGGCCTGTAATCTAATCCTGACCGCTCACTCAGGGAGCTGCTCTGAACCTGGTCCCTCGTTTCTATTATGGTGTCATCATGGGAGGAAGAGAAGAGGGAGCAACTCAGTGTTTATCCACAAATAGAGTGTTATTCCAGAGAGAGGGTGTTATATAAATTTTGTTTTCCCATAAAAATGATGATGACTGTGAGTTCAGTGCACATGGACCCTGGCAGTGAGTCAGAGAGATTAGGCCTCGGCCTGTGGGGGATATCCCTGGGACAAGATCTCTGTCAAAGGAAGGTAGCATTTGAGAGGATGGTAGTGTCTTCCCTAGTTTATCCCATTAAGATTTTTGGACCTATAACAGGGAAGCACTGAGACTCTAGTGCTAGGTGTGGGGACTGCCTGGACCAAAGTAGTACTTAGCCTTTCAGGTTCATTCATTCTGTGTATCTAGGAACAACACGAGAGCAATTACTAAAGCTTGTATCAACTACTAAACACCAAAGAAGCAATCCTTGGTCCACTTGTTTCTTTAATACCCACCTACCTTCTTAAAGTCCCACTAATATGCAGCACCCTCCAGTTAATTCTCATGTCGGCTTGTTCCCCTCCGTAATGTCTATTTGAGTATTATCATCTGCCATGATCGGCTCTAGGATATTTCTGCAAGATCCTTCCATTCTAGAAGATTGGTGATTGTTTTTCCTTCTAACAGGTGTCATGCTGACTGCTCTTCTGAGGCAAGTCCTTCACCTGTAGTATCTTACAGTTCCTTTACGGTCTCACCCCTTCTTTCTCCTGTCTGTGCTGGTGCTGAGTTAGTCACCAGATAAGTCACAGACCTGCTCAGTGAGTCAGCAGGATGCATGAGAAGAGATTTTCACACACTAACTGCTCCCATTCGAAGTTTGGTTTCCTGGCCTCAGGCTCCTTCTTCCCAGTTTTCAAGGGCCAGGCTTCTTCCCTTTACCTACCCACTCGTGCAGGCTCATTAAGACCATTCAGCTTCTCCCACCCAGATTCTGCCCTGTAGGTGAACTGAATGAGTTATAGGCACTCTCCACGCAGGATGTGCCCTGTACAGATAGTGTAGCCCTGTCTGTAGGAATGCTCACTGCATCCCTCATAATAGGCCCAGCACAGTCCCAGAAATGGAGCTGAGGCCTCATACACTAACAGCCTGTTCCTGCAGCCTACCAGCTGCAGTGGTTATAAGTTATAATCTATTACCATTGCAAGAAGACTTAATTTCTAGACTTAAAGGAAGTTGGATAATACTTTATCCTATTAGAGTCTGCCTGTGTGAACTGACAATGGCTTCCTTCTGACATGACAGCATATTCTTCCAATTCATCTCTTTATGGAGATGAATTGGGAGAATCTGGACTAAGGAGGGAGGATCAAGGAAGAGACTGCTAAAGGAACCAGGGAAAGGGAAGACAATTTTTAAATTAGAAACAGGGAAAGGATGCTTAGAGGGACTTAGCAAGGCTGAGATATCTCAAAGCATGTTTGCATTTCATTTTGTTTCCCTTGCGAGGGAAGTGACTGCAACTAATAGGTGTGCCATGTACACGTGTGTCAGAAAAAAGCCACAGAGAAGTATGAGCGCAAAAAGGAACTGGCCTATTTCACCTTCTTCCTGTTACAGCCCATTGTGAGTGCAGGATAGTTTTCCTGTTTGTTAATCCTTCCTCCACATTCCTGTTTTAAGTCCACATCTGCTCTGACCAGTGGTATCATGTCAGCTGAGAGTACCTTCACATAATGGGTATGTTATCTAGGCTGGCCAGCCTTGGGATGGCAATGGACACTAGGACAGAATGGTTTATGGCTTCAGGGATGTGGAGACAGTGACAGGAATTTCCAAGTTAATTCGTGAGATCTAGTTGAACCTCCTCATTTTAGTTATAAGGAAAATGAAGCCCAGGGAGATGTGACTTGCACAGTGTCACAACTGGTGATGCAGAGCCTGGGTCTCCAGTGTCTGGGTTCTCAACCCAGCAATGTAGCTGAACACTAGCAGGGCCACCATGACTTACACTCCAGGGGGCGCCATTTACAGACACCACAAAGTGATTAGTGCCCCCTGGAGTTTACAAATTGGTGTAATCCCCTACAGTTTGCTTCCAAGGAAGGAAGGAGAAAAAGGAAGGCCTTTCATGCCAGTACTTATATCTGAGATGGGTGGTGCCTACTCATGACTTCATGCAAACAGCTAAAGCTGAGAAATCAGGCAACTTTTCCTTTCTCTTCAACCAGAAGTGTTAAACAGCTAATAAATTTAAAGGAGCATTCGTTGCTTATGCTGTCCTCCCCTTCCCTACAGGAGTGAAGAGCTGTAAGGTAAAGAATGTGCATCCCAGTGCAGGGAAGGTTTGCAGAAGCAGGATCATATTAGAGGTTCATTCAAGGTCAAGTAGACCACTGGAGAAATGGACAAGTCCGGGGTCCTGCTTTCCCCGCCTCACCTTCCCTAGTACTATGTAAGCAAGGGCACCCACACAGGCAAAGCTCAGAAAGCCCGGCTTGACTCCCAAAGAGGGATCTAAGAAGCTGGAAAACATCTTTTCGCCATCTCAACAAATCATCTCTTGGGAAATGAGTGGCCCTGGCTATAATTTTATTATACACATTTAATTAGAATCTATCTCCTTCATGAAGGTTTCAAGCCAAGTCCCAACAGAAGCATTCTAAAAGAACAGCCACTTTCAGCCAAGTATCTTTTAACCAAGTTAATCTAGCAGAAATTTGCCATCTTGGATTGGATAGAGTTACCTCTCTTCTCAACTTCAAAGTTGGGAAGAGAAGGGAGGTGGGGAACATAGAGAAATAAAGAGGAGGGTGGGGGCTTCAGGCAAATGAGTTTTCATCTATTAAGGAGTGGTAATTTCTGCCAGCTCCCCTAGAGACTGGTCCCCTCCAATAATGGCCTGACTCTAATGATTCCCTCTCCTAAGCAACAGCCTGTGTTCTGCTGGTGTTGAGACAAACTGTGCCAGAGAAATTCCCTTTCTCTCGGAGGTGCTGCTATCATTACGCAGGAGAGATTAGCCAGCCAGGAGGATGTGCTCTTGGTGGGGAGAGAAAGGGGGGGCCAAAAAGAATGTGCTTCTCCAGCAGGCATGGTGCTGCTGACCTAGGACATAAAAGGCTGAGAGAGACGGGCCAGAAGTTAATGGTAGGATGAAAGGGCAGACTCTCCGGACAAGATGGAACAGACAAGAGCAGGTAAAAGTGTACGTGCTTCTTGACTCACTGAACTCCATGAGTGCTGGCTGGCTGGGAGGCAGTGGGAGGTCTCTAGGGGGTAGGGGTGAACCTCAGGCAGAATGGACAAAAAATGATGAATGGTTGAGACATGAAACACAGTAGTAAGTTCACTGGAAGCCGGGGTAGGAAAATCAATTTCAGGTCCCTAAATATCTATTATATCTTGGGCAGAAGGACAGGGATATGAGCTAACACTGAAATTGGGGTGATAGCTATTACTGAGGCTGCAGATTCAGTTGAGGGGGTGGGGTCCCTGCAGTCTGCTCTTTCCCTTCTTATACGCTGACAGTGGTGGGGAAAGCTAATATTGTGTTTCTAATTTTTTCGGAGGCTGCTCCTGGCAGGTCGAGTAGGGGTGGAGTCCTTGACTTTGCCCCTGGTGGCTTCCCTGTGATAGACAGATGCTTCCAGAGGCCGTCTGGCCAGATGTGCCAGCAGGCAGCAGGGCCAGAGAGCCTGCAGTGCAGACAGATGCCCTGGGCTGCATGCAGGATGGTGAGACCCTTTATGGCACTGCAGCTCGGCTCTGGGGCAGTGCCAGAGTGGCAGGGTCATGTTCCTCAGCCAGAATCATTTCCCCTCAAACCTCTTTGAGTATGTGGGCCATGGAGGGAGGCAAATTTAATTAAATCACCATGTCAGGGGCTGGCCTTCCTGGGCAAGGGCTGAAAATGGGCTCACGCTGACACGAAGACCCGTCTGTGTACACAGAGCGCGGGTTTCTTTGTACTTGGCTGTTGGCAGCTAGATGGGGTGGGCAGTACCCAGTGCTGGCCTGGTGAGCTGGCCCTTTGCTGCAGCAAGGCAGTCAACAATAATCCAACGCCGGCCCCATACAGCTCTGATGACCTTTCCTTTCTACTCAAGAGATGACTGAGCAGCATTCCCCCTTCCTCCATCAGTTCATTTCTCCTCAAATGCCTCTCTTGCTGACACCCAAAACATCCCTTCACAGTGTACTATGCTGAGCCGGGGAAGGGAAGGAGGATGAAGCTGCAGAGAGGTGTGATCCAGAATAGTGCGCAGGCCCAGTTTGTTTAGCTTAGAAGAGCAGGAGGGGTCTTTCTGGTGATTCTCTAGAGTGCTACTTCAGCAGTTCCCTGCCGGCAGCTCCACGCTGCACAGAGAAGCATTTTCAGGTGCCAGAAAGCAGCAAAGCTTTCTCTTGCCCATCCCTACACGAATGCCACAGTGGGTACAGAACCTGACCGTCACAGAAGCAAGGAAGTTCAGTAACAACTAGAACCATTCAATATGTGGAAAGCAACAACCAAAATAACCACTGGCTGTATTATATCTTTTAACCCCACAGGTCATTT